CCTACCCATAGCCCACGGGCTTCCTGGCAAAAAGTCTTTCAGCTGTAGCACTCTTTTGATGCCCAGCTGTCATGGTACCAGACGAAAGCACTGTTACGCACTCGAATGATTGTACCAGAAAAATGATTGGATCTGAGGGTTGCACGACCTACCCATAGCCCACGGGCTTCCTGGCAAAAAGTCTTTCAGCTGTAGCACTCTTTTGATGCCCGCCCAGCATGGTACCAGACGAAAGCACTGTTACGCACTCGAATGATTGTACCAGAAATAGAGAACGAGGATTGCCGAATGATTGGCTTTAATCTTCTAACAATTTCAGTACATCAGCTAAAACATTAGGAAACACAATTAGTTTAACGAATAGCGAGTAAAAAGTTAAACACAACGTCAGTATATAACATTCTTCCCCACCGGAAGGATTATTATCAGGAGAATATAGAATAGGCTTCGCGGTTTCGAAGATTATACGGTCTACGGCAGTGAAGCATCGGTGTTGAACACTGATGTCATGCTGTCGATGATGATGATGATGATGAGATCATACGGTCGAACACGTTGTTGGTCTGTGATGTACTGTAGGACATTCCCTGGAACTTCACTGGGTTGTTCTGTTGGTGCCATTTCGCCTCCCGGAGGATCAAGCGAGTGTGATTGAATATCGTCTGGAGGAGCCACTACACTTTCGATTGATTCAGTTAAATAGACATCTGAGATATTTTGTGCTTTGGGTGCCAGATGTCTAAGAGAAACAGTTTTCCTTTCCGTTCGGGAAACGAACGCGGGCATACTGCGGGTTGCAGTTAACAAGTTCCACCTCTTCCACTAACGGATCGTATTCGGAGGAACGTGTCATCCTCTTTAAGAGAACGGGGCCTGGAGTCGATAACCAAGTCAGAAGAGAGGTGCCGTACGTTGACTTCCGGTGGAAGTTCAAAAATCTTTCGTGTGGTGTTGTGTTAGTAGCGGTACACAATAAGGAGCGAATAGAGTACAATGCATCTAGATGCACACATTCCCACTCAGTAATGTCCCGTTGTTGGGTCTTCAACGCCAGAGTGATGGACTTTCAAAGGGTACCGTTAAGCCGTTCGACTTGTCCGTTACCGCGTGGATTGTATGGAGTGGTTCGACTGGTTGCCACACCCCTGTCATGAAGAAACGCTTGTACTTCGCCTGACATGAAAGCTCCACCACGATCAGAATGGACGTATGTGGGCATTCCGAATAAAGGGAACAACTGATTAAAACACTTGATCACGGTGGATGACGACACACCCGTTCATGCGAAGGCGAATGGGAAACGGGAGTACTCGTCGATCATTGTTAGAAGGTATTTGTTGTGGGAGGTCGATGGAAGTGGGCCTTTAAAATCGATGCTGATGCGTTCAAACGGTTGTGTAGCTTTAATAAGATTGCCAAAATGGTGATTGAGGAAACGAGGCCTCAATTCTGAACAAACACTACATTGATTAGTAATCACCTTAACATCCTCGACGGAAAACGGCAAATTTTTTGAGCGAGCGAAATGAAGCATCCGCGTGATGCCGGGGTGACATAACGTGTTATGAAGGTGTTTGAGATCCACGTATGACATTGCAGATATGTTGCCAGTCCGCGCTAGTGCGTCAGCGGCTTTATTCTGGTTACCTGGACAGTACTGGACATCGTAATGAAAACAGGACAGTTCAAGTCTCCATCTCGGAATTTTGCCGTTTTTTACCCTGCCTTTGTGTTGCTTGTCGTACATAAAGGCGACTTACCGTTGGTCCGTGGCAAGTGTGAAATGATTGCCGATCAGGTAGTGTCTCTATTTTCTCAGTGCCTCAACAGTCGCGTATGCCTCTTTCTCGATTGATGAATGACGAAGCTCACTGTGTGACAGCGTGCGTGAAAAGAAAGCCACCGGGCGCCCGTCTTGATTGAGAGTGGCCGCAATGGCTATGTTGGAAGCATCAGTTTCCACAACGAGTGGACGAGCGTAGTCTATGGTGAAAACGGCGGCCTTTTCCAAATCGTGTTTGAGATTATTCAGTGCCGCTTGTACGCTATCTGGAATCGGGAAGATCTGATTGCGGACGACTTGATGAATCTTAGGATGCCAGCATTCCGACCAATCTTCGTTGTGAACAGATGTCACATGGATGAGGCAACTCTCGTAGGGCTCGAAAACGTTCGGGATCCAGTTTTATCATACCGTGAGATATTTCGTATCCTAGTAATAGTACTTTCGCAGTAGCTATGGTGCTCTTTTTCTGGTTAAACGTAATGCCGTGACGTTTTGAAGCCTCTAGAAATTTCTTCAAATTTCTGGGCATCACGACCACACACGGTAACTTTGTCAACATATGCGAATGTATCGAGCAGACTTTCCTCGCGTATGTTGTCTATGTTGCGTTGAAAGCAGGCCACACCATTAGTAACTCCGAACGGAATGCGGCGAAATTGAAAGAGTTTACCACATGCCTCGAATACAGTATATGGCTTGTCTTTGTCGACAATGGGGATCTGGTGGTACGCACTTTGAAGGTCTTGTGTGCTAAACACCATGTAATGGGACACCTTCTCTACAAGTTCGTTCACCTTCGGCAGAGGATACGCATCAAGATAAGTGAAGCGATTTATGGTTTGACTGTAATCGATGACCATGCGCTTCTTATGCCTGTCATTTGTAGTACCGAGAATCTGAGCGCGCCAAGGAGAGTTGGACGGCTCAATAATTTTGTCAGCTAGTAGCTTCCGAATCTCCGTCTTGATAAATACCGTCGCGAGAGAAACGACGAGATTTTGTGGCAATTGGAATACACCCTGGGGCGAGATTATCAAACAAAGATGGAGCATTGACTTTCGCTGCTTTCAATGTGCATACGGCGAATGGGGCCCGCTTACCCGTGAATGGTACGACCACACTTTGGTGTTGGCTGAGAAAATCCAAGCTAAGGATGAATTCTGGGCACAAATTGAACAAGAGCGAGAGTTTGACACCTCCGTATCGCATGCTTTTGCACAGCACGGCAGCATAAAGATGGCCGCTAGTAACATGATAAATTTGTTGAAGCCATCGAGATGGCGCTCTTAGAGGATGTTATCGTCCAGCCATGCTTCAATGCGATGTCAGAAGAAATATCACTTTCGCAGCTACCAGTATCGATAAGAGCATTAAGTGGGATATTATTCACTATAACATCAACGATTGATTTGGAAAGTCCAATGGATGAAGAGATGTTGAAAATGGATGAAACACCAGGGTTCATCGTCGATGTGATACGACTTGAACTCGGTTTGGAGCGACAAACTTTTTGGAAATGACCTTTCTTGCCGCAGGAATGACAGAAAGTCTCATGAGCAGGGCATTTTGAACGAATGTGCTCACCGTTGCCACAGAAGAAGCAAGATAAGGATGTGCTTGCAATCGTGTCATTAGATCCAGTCTGAGAGATAAGTGCCTCACGAACAGGAGTCAAAGGTTTATCAGGGCCACAGGGAACATGAGATGAGTCGTATGAGAGTGACTGTTGTTGAGCGTGTCCAAGCAGACGTGCCTCGTTAAACGCTTGTTGAAGATTAAGAGTGTGTTTTTTCTAGTAGTCGTTGGCGAGCGGAATTAGACTGCAAACCTGTGATAAAAGCGTTTCGAATAGCCTCATCCCGATGTTCATGGGCAGAAACCGCACGAAAATTGCAGTCCTTGGCAAGGTAACGTAATTTTTGCAGGAACGCATCGACTAATTGACCCGGATCTTGTCTGGTAGTAGCGAGCACGTGGCGAGAAAACACTTCATTTTTGGGTTTAATGTACTTTAGAAAGGGGAAATCGAGAGGACGAGGTCGGGTTCGAACCACGGACCTTCCGGCCAGTAAATTCGCTCTATAGTCACTGAACCCTATCGCCCCAACTTTCTTATACGATTTCTTGGTGCTCCTCGTTGGATTGCTCTCCAGTGACCTTACATGACTGAATTTTATGGAGCCGGGTGTCGGTCCGCGCTGCGCGTAGGGTCATTGCAGCACTCCAGGTCGACCAGTGCGTCAAGGTGTTACTGAGTGTGGGAAATAGGTTTTCTGGATTATCACTAGATCTCCTCCACTTTCGTATTTTTCTTTTCCGAGAGACACTTTATTTGAGTATCTTAGAACGTTTAGGTTGCTACCCCCAATCACCATTTTAACCTTCAGTGATGAGGATATTTTCGCACATGTTTCCCAACTTTTATTCCGGTATTCCATACCAAGGCGAAATCGCCTACAAATAGTGGAACTCTGGTGTTCAAATAGCTGCTGACGAAAGCCTTGTCATTATGGAATATTCAGACAACATCCCTCTCGTCTTAGAATTGGAGGATGCGCAGGTGTCTTTGGATAAACCGACCAAAGTCACTCCGTTCTTGGGCACACTGCACTCAAGAAGTGTAAGGTCATGCTCCCGGACATAGGTCACTGAGCACGCCACTTACAATCCAAGGAGAGGCACTCGAAGCTCTGAAGCGCTCACGTAGAATGAAAGTTGTTTTAGCTCTGATTGTAGTGTGACAGATGAGATCAATGCACCAAACTGAAAGGCTCGGATCGCGTTTGGTAATTTGAGACACCTGTGGCGTCAAAGCTGTATATTCATGAATCTCAAGGGACGTGTGTATCAGACTACAGTGCGTGCTGTTTTGTTGTTTGGCTGTGAGACTTGGCCTCTCTGAGCAGCTGAACTGAGACGTCTTCAGGTGTTCGATAACCGTTGTGTCAGAACCATAGCTGATGTCAGTGGCACTCTTCTTGTCAGTTTCTATCCAGATTGCCTGAATGAGTGTCTGGAAGTGTAAGGACCTCGGGATGATTGTGCTAAACTAACACTATGTAACTTTTCCGTTTCTACTTATTCTTTCCCCAAAATATGACTTTCCAATAAATCATGGTTTTACGGCGGCAAAGCATCAGTGTTGGATACTGGTGCTGTGGTGTCGATTACGAGGACTCACAAATAGTTACTTCTTTTTTTACAGACCCCGTGCCTGTGATGCGTAGACGACCACAGGATAAGAATGCCCCTCGGAAGCCGCCCACTGCCTTCATGTTATATGTAAAACATCGACGTCTCCAGTCTGAACAACTCGCTTCACTGCCTTTTGGCGAACGGAATCGGATTTTGGGCAGTGAATGGAGCAATTTACCAGCAGATCAGAAGGCTGGGTTCTTTAACGAGGCCAAAGAACTACGTGATAAGTATACTCAGTTGTTGGCAGAGTACAAGAAAAGTGATGCCTATAAGGATTGGCTTGCCAGTGCGGAAAGTACCGAGATACAGAAGACGAAATCGCGGGGTAAACACAAGCTTGATCCGATCAGCGGCAGTGTACAACCCGACTACAAAATTCCCATATTTACACATGAGTTTTTGGAGTACAACAGGTTGAGGGAAGTAGTCTTGCGTCAACTGAAAAAGCAGGTAGGTATGTTGTGGTACATTGTTTCTGTTTGAACTGCACTTCTGAATCCAAAAACAATTGAGAAACGAATACTTTTTAGCATTGCATATAGTTCTTTTACTTTGAATGATTGTTATTTGAATATTATTGTAAGGAACGAAGTCGTTTATTAGCGAACACAGGAAAGTGAACTCTCATATACATCTTAGTTTTAAAAACCGAACATCCTCTCCTTGAACTTTCATGGATATTCATTGACTATCACACGGTTGTAAACGAACGCTGCAAAGTTGTTCCATAATAGCCTCCACCTTCCATTAGACGCGAGGCGTAGTTGCGAGAAAACCACATGAGAGAAACCACGAGAAACCCGCATGCCTCATCAGTAGTATTCACCTTTACACTATCACTTACTTTTCCTAATAACGTGCCTTGTACGAGTATTGATGCATAACATGGAGCGTAACAACTGTACTCAGTTTGAAGATTTCACCTCACGGGAAACACTTCATCTCATGAAAAAGATGAAAAGATAACCGCAAGTTTCTCCTAAGCCCAAAGACTTTACCGACCCTATTCTCCTTTGAATATTTATGTAAAGTAGGTGCACATGGGGTTTGTATTCACTCTTCGTAAATCGTTGAAAAGTCTAGATAACAGAGCGTCTCTTTTCACAGGATGTCTGTAGGTGTTTTCAGGGTCAACGAAACACAATTTTGTGTATTTCACCTCCCCAATCATTATTTACGGAAACCGGAGATTTGGAATTTGTTGCTCTAATAGGCGCTGTCTCGTCTTCACAATGACCACAAACCTTATCTCATAAAGGACTCCCCGGTTGCCAGGAGGATGATTCTATTTGTGTTGGATGTTCGTTGTCTTAGCACTGGTTTCAAAGGACGATAATAAAGGTTCCGTGGCTTTTCTAACTCAAGCGAATAGGGAGCAAAGGCACCGATAATCGACTTGTCAAAGCGAACTCAAGCAATTGCTTTTTTCGCCTGCACAACTTGATCGTTAATACCATTGTCCATGTCGTTGCTCCCATTTTGAACGCCACCTTGTAACGGAAAGAAGTTTCAATGTTTCCTTTGCCCAATATCCCATGACCCTTCTTGGGCCACAAGATTTAACTAAGGTTCCTCAAACCCAGTGTTTTCTTATTTTCCCATGTTGCTACTACTTTAGGACAAGCCTTGTTGGCGAATATACACTCATTTGCAAACTAATTTGGTTTTCCGAGAGACTCACCTGGAACCCAGCTGAATCTCTTGTTTGTGATGTTCTCAGGCAACAGCTGGGTTCCAGGTGAGTCTCTTGAAAAACCAAATTAGTTTGCAAATGAGTGTATATTCGCTAATTTCGTGTGATTTGGTTTCAAATAGAACATAAGGTTGACGGAAACCTGGGGACCGCGCCTACCTGATGAGCCCAAATCGACCGGGACCACTGTTCCGCACATGTACGATTTTAGCTAACGACGTTAGTCATGACAATGATGGTCAGCCTAGGTTGCAGCTGCGGCGTGTGTTCCAAGGTGATAAAGGTGTTGCTGTGGAAAGAAACGCACTTACGCAAAGGAATTCACGCTTGGGAACAGGATCCGAATAGGATTTAGTGTTCTCCCATACTGATCCGGTAGACAGCAGAGTGATTAGTCTAGAGATCTTCAGTTGAGGGCAAAAAGTAGATAGAACACAAGGTGAGTTTCCTTGCACACAACGTCGCCTTGATAACATGCAGAGTAGATCCGCCACGTAGCAAAACCATCAGTAGAATGATAAGAAAAGGAGACCTGACGTACACTCCGTCTTTCGGATGAACGACCGGGCAAAATGTGACAAGCTCACTTTGCACTGTATGACAAACTGATAGGGAAAACTCTCGTACACTGTCGTTTCGTTTTTAGAGGCGTGGCTTGCATCCAAAGCGGATTTCTGGTTCAGTATTCACGGAGCTACTGAACGCAGTCGTCAAAACGATCGGTTTACGTAGAGGCGAATGTAGTGCTACGTGCAGGTCCTTGGTGCTGATGTGGATCCGGGGAATGAGATTTGTTTTCAAGCATACAGAGGCCTATTTCCAGTGACCAGCCAGTCTAATATGGCGACATACAAATGAGCTTTAACGTCGACTACTTGCGTCTTTCATCCTATGCATAAAGGGGGTTGCAGCTGAACGCTTATCATTATTTGGTGTGTACGAGAGAGAGAGAGAGAGAGAGTCGACCACCTGATGGTAGACCTGATAGCGGACAGACTTTTGGGGCGAGATGGCTCAAGTGGTCAGAGCGCGAATTTACTGAGCGGAAGATCCGTGGTTCGAACCCGACTTCCCCTGTCTAGGCTTGGGCAACCTGGCACTATCCCAGCCCTCGTACTTCCTTCGGGTAGCATGGCAGCCAGGCACCGGGAGGGTGTTACAACTGACATTCAGTCATCAAACAGCCAGCCGAACGATTTGAAGATGGTTATTTTTCAGCACATGATGGGTTTCCCTGGTTGTGTTTGCAACTTTGCCTTCTACCTTCATAATTTTTGTCCTCTCGCAATCGATTGGATGCTTACATGGGTAAACAATTCAGTTCACATTTGCCGTCGTTGTAGGCCGTACAGCTGGAAGAGGAGACGGCCTTGCTGAGCAAACACGTGGACAATCTGGTCAATGCGGAGGCCAAAACTAAATCACAACTCCAAACCTATCAAGAACAGCTGGACAACGAAGAGCAGCTTCTTAAACGACTGCACAAGGAATTAGTTGCAGCCCTGGGGGAAGTAAGTGGATTGGTATAAAACTGATGTCTTCTGTACGTCCCCGTTTTCTCACATTGGGAAATTTATGACCACTAACCACTGGCTCAGTGGTTAGAACGCCATGTTAATGACCGCAAGCTCCGTGGTTCGAACCTCCCTTTTCTCGGCTTGGGCAACCTGGCAGTATACCGTTACCCTTGCTTCCTTCGGGTGACCGGGCATCTAGGCACCGAAAGGGAGGTGCAGCTGAACGATTATCTTGAGCCACTAGTGAGTGGAAACCGTTTATCAAATCCCTATACGCATCACCTGTCAAATAGATTCAAACTGTTCCACATCCGCCCAAACGTAAACAGTTGTTGTTATGAAAAAGCCGACTGTACTGTGAAAGAATAGGTGTTTGTTTCTGAAGCGTCTTCCGATTGGTCAATGGTAGAGGTCTGACCAACACAGTCTCCTGGCCCTCCAGGTTGGGGGTTGGAACATGTGGCGACTTGTTCCGTAGAAATGGTAATGGATTTGCATTTCCCGCCAAACACCGCTGCCTTGCGGTTAGGCTTTTGAGCCAAAGGCTTTGATTGAGGACCCTAATCGTCCTCCTGTCTAGGTGTGGGCGCCCTGGCAGTATCCCAGCCCACGTACAACCATGAATTGCACATACACAAGTAAACTCATGCCACATCGGCCGTCGCGTGGTGCCGTCAGCCGGGTCGCCTTAC